GCACCCTAATTGTCCTTATTTTTTTCATAATACAATATTTGTTCATAGTACAAAATTGTTGATCCATTTTAACTTCTTCAATAAACACACTGATGCTTTGGAGCTATTTTTAAATAGTTTTAAAGTTCTGTATTAAATGATACAGAACTTTATAAAACTAGGTTAGAGTATTATAACTATGACTGTTTCACTAACAGGTAAAAATTAAACAATAATTCTCTGTTTTCACAATGCTTTCACATTGATTTAATTTGGTCCCACATCTCAAATTCTACTAACCTGTCTTATAAGAGTTTTATTCATTTCTCCTTCAAAGATCTTTCCCAATTTATTGAATTAAAAGGCAGACCACACCATGACTATTTGTGATCTCCTCCATTGTCCAAGTAACTAATCTTAACTAACTCAATAACTCCAAGTGGTCCTATTGATATCTGGAGAGAAGGGAGGCTGTGCTACAACACCTCTGTACCACAGGTATTAGTTACATGTCTTATTGCTTCCAAAAGATACCTTACAAAAGGACTTGAGGAAGGCTTTGTTTTTAAACATACTTTCTAGGTTCAGTCTACCATGTTAGATGTAGACTGATTCAATGATGGTGCTCAGATCATTTCTTCTTTTTTACAAAGTGTATTACAACATCCCAGGAAATCCTACTACCCATCCCAATTAACCTAAGTAGGGCAGTCCCTCACAGCACATGGTCAGAGGCTTACTTAATCTAGAAAATGAGTCTCAAGAGTGTCTGGAGGCTTGTTGGTAATTAAAAACAACATCATTTTTACAATATTGACTATTACTCCCTGATCACTGACTTGTGATTTTAACAATCACCACTCTCCTTTTGGGGCTGAGTCACAGGACTTTATTCAACTCATTATCTGGAAATAAATATGGCCCAGATTCTTTAGTGATAATTTTGATATTTCCAAAAAAATCTATGATTACTGCTTAAAATAAAGACCAGTAGGCAAAGGTGCTTTAAGGAAGGTTACACAGGCATATCAGAGATTAGATGATCAAGTTATCCAGCTCTCAAATCCCAACCTTCTATAAGCACTCATAGCTACTTTAGTCAATTCTTGATATAATAATTTATCACTCAATATTCTTGGGGAATATATTTGTTTCTTTTTATCAACTAAAATCTGGTGGCTGAATATTATCTTTGTGTTATGCTAGAATCAATATGTTTGTTGATATATTGTCATTTTAAGAGTGAAACTTGTAGAATAAAATTGATAGGACATTTTTCAAATTGAAGATAAATATAAATGGTATCAACTTTTCAATTAATGATTCATAACCTATAAGTGTGTTAACACCAATTGTAAGACACAGAGGACAATCTCGAATTTGTAAAGCATGGAAAATAATCTTTTCATGATATATGGAGAGAAAATACATAACACAAAATAGAATTTGACAACAGATTCTGGGCACAGGAACAAAGATCTATTTCTTGACATTTAGGTGGTGAGTTAAGATTTTTAGTTGGATTGTTATTTTTTTAATTGAGAAAATGTTTTTAGACAATGTTTGGCTCATTGTTTTAATCATTCACTTTCTCCATATCCTCCCCACCTCTGCACCCACTCAAAGCCTTCCTTTCTCAATCTCTCTTGCTTTAGAAAAGGAACAAATTAACAAATGTCTCAATCTTTTCTCCATCTCAGCATCTATTTAATATATGCATTGTCTCCAGTATTTGTCATTGTTGATGGTTCAAAATCAGATGTAAGTATCTTTTAAAATATGTGTTGCTTCATACCAAACATGTTTTAGTATGGAAATTTAATATATGAACCTTACTTCTTATTCTACATTGTAGTTATTCAGACCATCTCAAGAATTCCAAATTTCTCCAAACTTTATAGAAACCTGATAATCAAAATTCCATGCCATGGATAAGGAAGGTACTAGAGTGTTACTTGTCAATAAAGACAAATCTTACAGAAAAACATGAGCTGAATCTGGGTAATGATGGGTAAAATATAATACTGACACTTCTGGTATCACGTTTGAATGAGTGTCTAATCCACATTTCAGCAGATTTCAGTTGTCCACAGAAGAGGAGGAAGAATTGTAGGAGCCAGAGGAGTCAAAGACACCAAAAGAACACAGACCACAGAATCAACTAAACAGGGCTCATAGGGCCCAACAGAGATTAATGCAACAAACAAGCGAGCCTGCATGGGTTAGCACTAGGTCCTCTGCATATATATTACTGTCATATTTTTTATCTATATGGGAATCCTAACAGTGGTAATGGAGGTGTCTCTGACTCTTTTGTCTGCCCATGAAATCCTTACCTCACTCATCCCTGACATGAGAATTTTTGCCTACTTTTATTGTAATGTGTTATACCATCTTCCTTTTCTGAATGGAAATGGAGAAAGAGTAAATCTTGGGGGGAAGGGAAGAAGTGCTTAGAGGAGTGGAGGGAGAGGAAACTATGGGAGACATCATATAAAAGAAGAATAGTAAATAATTGTCTCAATAATTAATATTACTAGCTGTCAATTTTAAGTATACTATATATGATTTAACTTCTTTCTGTGGTTTCATGAAATTTTTGCTGAAATTAGATAATCAAGGGATAAATTTTTATTATACCTCAGGACATTCTGTGACACAGAATCTCATATTTGATCTCTTGAAATAATAGCAGAGTTTAGGACTGGTTTTTTGTATTTTTCCTTCTATATCTATGACTGTATTATTGTTTTAGACTTGTATTCTTTCTCTAAATTTCAGTGTTTCTATGACACTTTGTGTTGATCATGATTTTTACAGTGTTTCTGTATTCAATTTATTCAACATATTTCCAGAATCACTGTTTGCTAGTTTCTCACCATTTTGATTGTATTATTGAAATACCCATTATATATTAAAATTTGTCTTCTGTTAGGTTTTCATCCATGAAAGGCTATTCTGTGTTAGAAATTTATTCTACTCAGGATATAATAGAAGTGTAATGATATGTATATGGAAAACCTAAATATACCAAACTGCTTTCATAAGAGAGTCTCAGGAAAAAGCACAGTGTTTATAAAGTGGGAACATAGTAAGGTATATTAAAACAGAAACTTGACATCTCAAAAATTGTATTTTGTTATTGCATTTTCACTGTTAATCTCTACCCTAGAAATTGTGCCCAACAGAAGCACTCTGACTTTGAGAAATATTCCAGTCATTGACAAAATAAGATATTTAAAACACAGCAGATTTCATTGCCTTAATACATTATGAATTGTACTTTCTGAATTAAATACTAAGTGCTTTACGTTAACTGACATCTGATGGTTAGTGCTAATAATGAGAGCATATGTCTCAGTAATTGACTATTAAGAAACTTAAGATACTAGAAGTCAGCTGGGAACTGGAGGGACAGTTTTTTTTTTTAATTGACTTTACAACCTGATCTCTCTTCTACCTGAAGGTACCCTCTTCCACAGTTCTTCCCCCAAGCTCTTTTCCCCTTTGAGAGAGTTGAAACCCTATAACCCAAGTATTCCCCAACTGGGCACATGAACTATCTGCAGGACTAGACACTTCTTCTCCCACTGAGACCAGGCAAGACATCCCAGTTTGGAGAATACATTACACAGACAAGCAACAACTTAGAGATAGACCCTACTTTGGTTGTTTGGGACCTGAATAAAGACCAAGTTGCACATCTTCTACATATGATCAAGGAACCTAGGTCCAGCCCATGTATACTCATTTGTTGGTAGTTCAGTCTTGGAGAGAACCCAAGGGTCCAAGACAGTTGACTCTGTTGGTCTTCTTCTGGTGATCCTATCCTTTTGGTGTGCCTTCAATCTTTCTCCAACACACTGTTAACCACTGCACTTGGAAGCAGAGGCAACCAAATATATAATAGTTCAAGCCAACGTTGTATTTAAAGTGAGTTTGAGGACAGCTAAAGTTACATAAAGAGAACCTATGTTAAACAAAACAAAACAGACACTGGCAATACTCCACATTGTTCTGATCAGAAATTAGCTGTACATGTTCCTAAAGTTCTTCTATTTAGTGATAATACAGAATAAGTAAATAATGTTTTTGTGAAAAAATTCTCTTCACAAATAAACTGAAAATCTCTTACAACATGTCAGCTAGGTAAGAAGGTAAACATACTTGTAAATTTTCAAATATGATATTAGATATGTATTATTGAGGAGATTGAACACTAAATTAATGTTAAATCATGGTAATGTGATTGTGGTAGCAACTCTAAAGAAGAGGTATAAAGATAAGATCTACTTTGGTGATGCGAATCCTATCACTTAAAAAATTAGAAAAACAAAGAAATAAATAATATTTATCATCTTTGGTCTATCAATGAAGTAGCTTCATATATGATTAAATTTGTAGTAATAGACTCAGAAGAGGAGGCACAATGCAAGATACAAATTAGCCATATGATTTTGTGTCATTGAATAACTAATTTATATGCTATTGCAATAAAATGGAGCAATTAATTGATATCATTTCTGCCTCAACATTTAAACATAGTATATTATCATCTAGAATTGGTGCGAAATAGAGACAGTAATTTTGATTTATTGGCTTTCTTAATATGAGATGACATTTTTATAATATAAAACACAAAAACACATAGAATTGCTGTCTGAAATAAGACAAATAATTAAAGTTACACAATAACAACCAGACAACTTGCAACTTACGAGCACAAAAATATAGATTTCATAGAGATAACTATCATGAGAATGTAAAGAATTCTTATAAGACCAACTGTATATTAAAAAACAATGCAATGAATTTTAAACGTCTGAATCCTAACATCCACGGTGTCCAGAAGTTTCTAAATATTTCCTACTCTGATACTGATTACAATTAGTTGGTCAAATTACACTATATTTATATAAAATAGAGAAACTGTAAGTCAATGTGGACTAAGAAAAGTACCACAGTCTTCTGCGCCCTTTCACCTTTCTTTTCCTATCACTCACTATTTATTTGTCTCAATGTGTGCCTCTTCCTGTGTCTCACCATGACATACACACACACACACACACACACACACAAACATTACACTATTCATAATTATGTCAAGTGAGAGTGCAGTTTTGAGCTGAAAAGTCTCCTGACTGTGTCCTTCACATCCTTATTTCTAAGGCTATAGATAAGGGGGTTCAGCATAGGGATCATGACTGTGTAAAGAGCAGTGGCTACTTTGACAAAGAGCCGTGAGCTGTTTGAGTTGGGAACACAATATAGAAGGAGAATAATCCCATGGAAGATTGTTATAGCAGTCAGGTGGGACGTACAGGTAGAGAAGGCTTTTCGTAGTCCTCCTTTGGAAGGCATCTTTATAATAGTGACAACTATGAACACATATGAGGCTAAGGTGATCAGGACACTGGAAGATTCACTAAGTATAGAAATGACTAAGCATGTCAGCTGGCTAAAGGAGGAGTCAGAGCAAGACACAGAGATGACAGCAGAGTATTCACAGCCAAAGTGATTGATGATGCCATATTCACAATATGATAGTTGCAAAAGAGTATATATGAGTATCACAGCACATAATCCTCCAATCATGTATGTCCCAGCTACTAGCAGAGCACAGAATTGGAGAGGCATTACAACTGTGTAGAGTAGGGGATTACAAACAGCCACAAATCTGTCATAGGCCATCACTGCTAACATGAACATTTCTGTAATCACAAATGTGCAAATAAAGAAAAATTGTATCATGCATCCTTTGAAAGAAATGGTCCTATCTTCCATGATCAAGATTTGCAGAAGTTTGGGTGTAAATACACTAGAATAACATATATCTAAAAATGAAAGTTGGCTGAGGAAAAAGTACATGGGTGTGTGAAGTTTGGGATTGATCTTTATAACCACAAGTATGCCCAGGTTCCCCATCAATGTCACTGAGTAGATGGTCAAGAACAGGAGGAAGAGGGGTATTTGGAGCTGTGGATATTCTGAGAAACCAACCAAGATGAATGTGGTAGCAGAACTCTGGTTCACCACTTCAGAAGCCATCACTTTTCAGATTATAGAAGAGGAAGAAGAGAAATTATGAGCCTCCCTGGAACTTGAGACAGTGGAACAGTAGAAACTCATGTGAGGCTTACCATAAATGATGAAGTCAGATGTAAACATACTCCATTTGTGAATGTCCTGCTTTGTCTTAGGTTCTTATGTGGGCAGTAGGTGATTAGTAAGTTAAGACAATGTCCTTTGTTCTTCCCTTTGCTCCTTCGCTATTGTATTTTTTCTCATCTGTGTTAAAATGTAGTGCTCATCAATATCATTCTATGTGAATTGTGTTTATATGCATATGTAAATAATATATCCATTTATTTGATGCTAGAGTACTTCATGGTAAATTATCATTATAATCATCAGAAACATATTGCCGAGTTATATCAAAGCACTGAGAAGATTGCAGTGGCCATTAGTCCAAGTTAGGGAAAGTTTGCACAAACTAAATGCCCAACATATGGTTACAAAAACCAAGACATATGGTTACAAAGTCTGACTCTAAGTGAGAATACTGGAAAAGTATTTTCAGGTTTCAAATTTTCATATTTCTTACCTTTAGCAAATTATTTATTCATTGTGTTCATATATTAAAAGAGGACATAACCAGCTCTTTATTGGCAATTAGAAACAAAAAGAAATACTTTAGCATTAAAAATGTGAGAATCTAGCTTTGCAGTGGTGGTGCAGGCCTTTAATCCCAGCACTTTGGAGGCTTAGGCAGGCAGATTTCTGAGTTCAAGCCCAGTCTGGTCTATAGAGTGTTTTCCAAGAGACCCAGGGCTACACAGAGTAACCCTGTCTTAAAGAAACAAACAAACAAACAAACAAAAAACTAACAAACAAAAAATGTAAGAATCTAATTTTAATAAAAACACTATAAAATAATAATGTAAGACACAATAAAATGTAAGAATCTAATTTTAATATTTAATTTGAAACAATTGTAAATGCTTTAGTCATGTGGCTAACTTAAGAGAATTGTATGAGAGAAAATGAATCATACCCAAGGTTAAATAATGTGATTGTTCTATATATTACTCAAAAATACCAAATAATAATTACAAGTGCTTATGCTGGGTATGTAGAGAACTGACACATCTTTTGTTCTTGTCCGTAACAACAAATAATTTACCTTAATCCAAGTCACTATTATTTTCTATGATAGACCATCACCTATATAATCATTCTGCCAATGGCACTGGAGTTTATTAGACCTCTATGAATTCATTCAGTCAGCCATACATATTGCAAGAACATCTTATCTATGAACTTAATATTATTTCAACAGTCTTGAAACTACAAAATTTGAAAAGTCTCTGATAATAATCTAATACCACTAGAGAAAATTTTGTTAAGACCATTATATACATAAATGTTCTTCAATAGTCATCACAGAAAGAGCAACCAGAATAATTACAAAATATGTTAATTAAATAAATTAAGTTATTGTCTAATCTCAAAACAAGGCAAAGCAGATTTAAAATAAAAGGATTCCTAACAATTTACATTCCTTGTATTTTTTCTTTTTTAGCAAATTTTCCACTATTTTCTCAGTAGTTACATTCTTCATACCTAACCACTATTTTTCAATGTTGTGACTACAGAATCCCAAACACTGACAATAATTAATTTTAAATTTAAAGGTATAACATAGAATATTGAATTTCTTACTATTATTATCAATATTTACTGGTAATATTTGTTTTTTATGAGTCTTATATTTTATTTTTAATGTCCCTGAATAATTAGAATCCTAGTATATTTTCATGTATATTTACAAGCATTTCAAATGATAATGCCTACTCTTCCTTTTAACTAAAGAAATAGCTTTACACTTGCTCTTGTGTCTTCGTTCCCTCCTTCACAACCTGATCTTCTCTCTTTTTATCTTTTGTGGTTTTACTTGTTTTCCCATACTAGATAATTTGTGTCTCAGAATACATAAACAACTCTCTTCATCAGCTCTGCATATTGATTTAGTATAGGAGCATTATGAGGCTGAATACCAGTTCCCCTGAATTCAGAATTGTGATGCAGAAAATTCATGAATCTGATGCAATTATATGCAAATACTGACAATATCGAAATACAAGGAAAAACATAATTAATTTTATTATTTGGTACAGCTAAATAAAATTCTATTGCTTGTATATACTGCATTTTCATTATCTATTGAAGAGTACATAGGTGCATCCAATTTCTAAGGAAATTCTAAAATAGCTGAAGTATGATTAAGGCATTAAAAATTGTGCCAAGTGTCCAAAAGTAATAGCACACATTATAAAACTGTCTAAAATGTAGAAACACTCAGAAAAGATTTAGCTGTCCATTCTCTAAGGGAATATTTCAGTCATGTCATTTTCTATTGCAGAGAACAATACAAAGTATAATAAAAACAAGAAAAAAGCAATCAAGACTCCTAAAACAATCATTGCTGAGTATGATGTTATGATGGTAATGTTTTGTACTATAACTGAGATATTCTTTGAAGTTTATTACAAAGATAACAAAAGACATTGGTAGATTACTAAAGGGAATAAAACACGCTGATTTTACAGCATTTAAAAGTAAAACAAAGAAAACCTGTAGAGCTATATTTTGTCTTCATTTAGAACTAGGATTAAGATTCACTTTTGGATCTATATTGACATTTCCCCTAGTGCCAGTGTTACATCAATAGTTTTTAATGCTTTCCTATCTCTAGTGCTTATTGATCACCATGCTTATTGATATGGCTGTGGGATAGTACTCCACATCAATGATCAGCAAATCAAAGAGATAACACTATGTACCTTCTGTGGTATTATCTCTGTTATTACTGATTTCATGTCATTTTGATTATGGGTTCTTTACTCTCTGGTTATTGAAAAAAATCCATGTTTTGCTAATTGTAAAGACACTAATTTCCCCCATGTTTGACATAATTTTATGAAATTCACAAACTACTACTGCATTGCACACACTACAATAAATCATGGAAGAAGCACAAAAAAAATCCAAATGATTTTCTTCATTCTTATCAGTATATGCATTGCTTTAAAAACAAAACAGAACAAAATCACAAATAAGGTCTCATTATGTAGAGATAGAGAGCCTGAAATTCAGTAGACAAGTTAGCTTTAAGCTTACAAAACTAAACCTGGCTGTGCTTCCCGAGGGCTTAGAAAAAAATGCATGAGCACACAATATAAAAAGAGTCATGATCTTGAAAAATCATATGGAGGAATTTAAGAGAGTGTTTGGAGAAAGGAATAAGAAAATAAAGTAAAATATATGTAATAATTGAATAACATTTCAAAAGGCCCACATTGACTTTTAAAGGTATTTTAATTTTATATCATCTGTGAAAAAATTATTGTTTGATGGTTTATATTCTGTTTTCCTGACAAATTCTGTACACAGATCTTCTAAGAAAACTGCTTTTTTCTGTATCAATTCTAGAAATGTTACTACTGATCCATTTTTACTTGAAACTATATGTTCAATTTTATATAGCATGCTTCATATATTATGTTATTCTTAGTGGACATGTTTTGTGAGCTTTTTACTCTGCATCTAAATTCCCTAAAGTTATGAGGATAAACTGTTAAGTAACTACTGGCTTAATTTTTGGCACAGTAACTTAACAGTAAGAAAAGAGCTTCAAATTTAGTACAGTGGTGAGGAACAATAAACTTCAAGTTTAATACCCAAATATGTATCATTAAATAAAATAGGAATGCATCACTCTTCTTCAGCTCATATTGGTTTACCCTTCCCTCCAGTATGTGTGGATCCTGTGTACATCTACAGACTGAAAACATAGACAACTTTAAAGTAACTTACCAAAATAAAGTCTTTCCTGGTATCCTTTATTTTGATAATGTTATTGATATAATTAATAAATGATATGTACAATTTAGATAAAAATTAAAATGCTTTTATATTCTTCTCAACTACAGTAGCAATTAATCAGTGAAATAGTGTTCAATAAAGTACATAAATACTAATATTTTAGCAACTAGAAACTATTTGTAAAGAAGAAAAAAGAGTCGTGTAGAAGGCTGAAATCTGAAAATTTATTTCAAGATATTTTTCACTGTTTAATCTGTAACTGCTTGACATTTGGGACATAAACCCAGAGGAATTCAAATTGTGTGTTGTCATAAATCATGTAGAAATAATTATCAGTCTGTTACTGAAAATATAATTTCCTCTCAATTATTATTATGCTCTCTCATGACCTGATAAATGCTGACACCATAAAGATTATATATTATAAAGTCAGAGAGAAAACAATAAATATATAACATTTATTGTAATATATCAACATAAATTAATTTTATATGACTTTGCATTTCATGAAAACTGGTACATGATTGAGAAATCTACATGATCTATATGAAAACATGGACCTTTTCTCCCAAAGACATATTGACTAGGAATTATAGACTAACTATGTATTCAATTAGACCTTCATTGGTTTAGAAAGCAGTGTCACAATCATTCTATATATCCGTTTATGCTTATCAGAACAACAAATTAAGTGCAACAGTTGCGTTTTAAGTATTCATGTTGTTTATCTTGCATGGAAAGCTGATGATTAAAAGTCAAGTGACAGGCTCAAGTTAGGAAAAAAAAACTTAACACCAAAGTATTCACTTCTCTCTCCCTTGCTCCAAATCCAATACAGCAGCAGTCTCAGCACTAACTTTGTAGCAGAGAACCTGTAGCAGCATCCTCTCACCTCATCTCTGGCAGATCCCACAGATTTTTCCCTCCTAACATCGCCCCCCCAAATGAAGCTTTGTCCTATACTCAAACTTCATCAGTCACTCCCTGCTAACCTATAGGCTACTCCAGCTAGGGATATGAAGAATAGCCTTGAACTCACTAGCACAGGAAAGACTTGATGAGTAGAACACCATTAGCGCAGGACCTAACATCAATGGTTAATAAATAGAACCTCATAAAATTAAGAATCTTGTGTATAGTAAAGGACATTGCTATTCAGACAAAGTGGCAGCACACAGAATTGGAAATATTTTCATCAATTACAGATTCAATAAAGGGTTACTATC